AAGATTAATGAATTTTAAAGTATGGCACAATATATTTTAATAAATACATATAACATATATTTCTATACACTTTTATCACTTATTCAACGCTTAAACTAATGCTTATGTTGATTGAAATATATTATAATTTGTATAGCTAAACGCTAAATAAGAATTGATTAAAAAAATTTATGGTTTGATATTCATTAAGAGAATATTCTGAACACATATTCTTCATAATAGAAAGAAACGACAGAATATTCTTTCGATAATAAAGAACAGAATTTCAAAGATTCAAAACTGTTTGCACACATAAAAACTCAACCGAAGTTCAAACAAGAATTTATGGCAAATATATATAAAAATAGAAATATAAGTAAATCGATGTCTACTCTATTCAATGGATAATATAAATATTCTGTCATTCAATATAATAAAAGCAAACATTTCAATAAAAAATATTTCTTATTTATATTTTTAGTATTCACTATAATTGGGAGGTTTTCACTCGCAAAGTAATCATATGTACGGCCAATGAAAGGGTCATACACTTCGATACTTATCCTAGTTTTCTGTCATTAAATTTGTTACATTCAAGTCAAATAAAAATTTAAAGAGGAAGTAATTTATTAGAGTTCCTATAAGATATACTGTATATAATTGTATTTATGTCTCTAAAGACTTATTTTCTATTTTAATAAACAATAAGATATCATAAGATATCAGATAAACTATTCATTTAAAAAATTTATGGTTTGATATTCATTAAGAGAATATTCTGAACACATATTCTTCATAATAGAAAGAAACGACAGAATATTCTTTCGATAATAAAGAACAGAATTTCAAAGATTCAAAACTGTTTGCATACATAAAAACTCAACCGAAGTTCAAACAAGAATTTATGGCAAATATATATAAAAATAGAAATATAAGTAAATCGATGTCTACTCTATTCAACGGATAATATAAATATTCTGTCATTCAATATAATAAAAGCAAACATTTCAATAAAAAATATTTCTTATTTATATTTTTTGTATTCAGTATAATTGGGAGAGGTTTTCACTCGCAAAGTAATCATACTATGTAGGGCCACACTACTATGTAGTATGTACGGCCAATGAAAGGGTCATACACTTCGATACTTATCCTAGTTTTCTGTCATTAAATTTTTTACATTCAAGTAAAATAAAAATTAAGAGGAAGTAATTTATTAGAGTTCCTATAAGATATACTGTATATAATTGTATTTATGTCTCTAAAGACTTATTTTCTATTTTAATAAACAATAAGATATCATAAGATATCAGATAAACTATTCATTGCTAGAAGGAGAGAGAGAGAGAGAGAGTTTTAAAATATTTTATATCTACTTTTTGAAAACTACTCATTACCTTAATTGCATATATAATACCCAGATGAATTTTAAAATGTAAATAATTTCCACTAGAATTTAATAATAGTTGGCAAACACCCATTCAATTAGAAAATTTTATGCCCACACATAACACAGTTGAGCTCATATTGTACAATACACTGCCTACAGTAATATACTCCCGGTGCTCGAGTTACTAATTTATTATAATATTATATTTTATTTTTATTATGCAATCACACTTCACTTATTCGCAATTTATATATTATTTTACATTTTTCAATAAAGTCTAAAACTCTTAGCAATCAATAAATGTTTTATTTAATCGTTTATGTATTTTGTCCACAAATTCTTGTCAACACTTATGGAGTTCTGTCGGACGTCTTAAGCATTAAATATGTTGACAAACATTTGCAGTCAATTGTCTGCATTATGTCAACGCTTTTACTTGTAATTCAGTTCACTTGTCATCAGATTATGTTTATGTTATCTTTTATATGTCTTAACAATATACACACAAACAAATTTTGTTGCAAACCATTCACTAATGTATGCAAATTTGCTCTTATTTTTGAAACTTTATTATAAATACAATAAAACCTTTACTTTAGAAAGCAATATACAAAATTATTAGTATAATAATAGATAATTCTGTTTTGACATTTTTAAATAAGTAAAATTTCAGATACTTTTCTAAAAAATATTTGCAAAAATAATTATAAGCAAAACATTACTGTAATAACAACAGATTATAACTGTTGAAAATAAATCTAACCAAACCATTATTCTTGTAAATACAGTATATAACTTAATGTAATTGAAAAATGCTTATCGCTTACCCATAACTGTCAATCTGTTATCAATATATAAAAAATGACTTCAATTTATGAATAATTTATTGGCAAATCAGTCAATACATTGGAGTATATTTTTTTGTGGGCATATTTATGACAAATATTTTTTGGTGAATTATATGAAAGTAAGCACTAAATTATTTAAGCGCACAAAATGTTGAGTTAAAATGAAATCTAATATTTAATACTCTCTTAGCGTTGGATTAGATTTCTATTTAAAAGCGTAAGAATTTTGTAGAAATTATTTGTTGAAATAGAGGTTCAGTTCATTAGATTTAATTGAATGAATCAATACTAACGACAAGTGATATACACGTAGCGAGAGAGAGAGAGAGAGAGAGAGAGAGAGAATCAGAGAATTGAGTCTAATAACAAACATCAAAACTATTGCTTAAGCCCTCAAAGGCATTAAGAAAAATAAAATTTACTGCAAATTCCATATACAGAATGCATTACAGAATCACCCTATACTAGAGCATAAAGAATAATATGTGAAGAATGTACCAGGATCGTTATCTATATTGCTATGGCCGCGCAGTGATGTCTAAATCCAATTCATTACGGCATATTTGCAAAGTATTGTCTATTTTATGATATAATAAACCAGAGAGTTGTCTGTATTACGAGATGAAAATCTTCAGACATAAAAACCTAAAGAGTTTTCCGTTCAATAAAATTATATTCAATAATAAATAAGTGATTTTCAGTTCAGGAAACAGCGGAAAAAGTTTAATAAATAACAAAATCTATTGGAAAACATTCTCTTCATTATAACTGTTAACAAAATGTTAACAAAACTTTTTTGCCACAAAATTAAGACATCAAATATTGTGCAAACATTGGGATTATCTGTGATTTGTTTGCCATTCATTCAAACACTTTTGTGTCGATTATTTCACTCTCGATTGGGAAACAACACAAATATGTCTCACAATATATCGCTCTTATCATGACATCCATCAAGAATTGAGTCCCACTTCCCACTCATAAGTCAAACCAACAACTATTCCGACACCTATTCCCCCACCAGTCATATGGTGTCCACTAACTTGTAAGACATTTTTGCATCCAATCCCCTCACATGACAATTGATCGGAACAATGAATCTTTAAGTATACTTTGTATATGATTTGTCGCCAATACTTACAGTAAATTATAAGTTATAATACTTTAGCAAAATTATAGACAAATGAATTTCAAGAGATATACAGTAATACAGACCTGATTAGCATTCGTGACACACGTCTCCAATTAAATTATCGCACATTTCAAGCGTATATACAGTTGATGAGAAAGTGGTAGACATGGTGTGGATGGCAAAGGGGAACAATTGGCAAAGGGTTTGGCACTAAGTTTTCTAATGGTCTCAAATGCGTGACTTCGCTATAGTATTGAGTGAAACAGCGATTATGAAACACTCCAAACACAACATCAATGCATTCAGTGCTCTCTCACTGTATCTCTCTCTCAACGCCGGAGAGTCTATGGTATGACATAACTGGAGAGAGCATAGCATAGCAGCCCTTCGTAACAACCGACTGCATCGCTGCCACACCTCCGCTCCAATCACATCCCTTTCCATCCAATACTGTTCACACACTCACTCTATCGCACATATACTTTTCCATTGCTTTAACCACTTTTTATGACATAATTTCCATACATTATCGGCCGGAGTGTCCAAAAATTGTATCCATAATATTGACAGCAATGTTTGCATCCAGTTTAGATTCAGAATATTCTTGAATCCAAATCATGCAATCGTTACCAATAATGGATTATAACTAAGGTAAAAGTTTCGATAACTTGGTCAATTATCATAGATCCGATTTAAATCAAATTAGTTGATGCGATAAATAATTGAATTCTCTTCTTATAGTGAAAAATATTTTATTTAATAATTATTTGTAAAAGTGATGCAAAACATTTTGAATTTTTCAAAATAACTGAATAAATATGTTTTTAACGGATTTCGTAAAACAATAAATAGATTTACATTCAAAAGAAATAGCAATTTAAATGGCACTTAATTTAGGCTGTATTTGACTATTAGACTTATTATACAAATTCATTATATATTCTTAATTAATTAATTTATACTTTGAGCGCAAAAACAATAATTCTTTTAGATTTAAATAGTTGTGACAATATTTTCAATAAAGAGATGAGACAAACAAAAAACAGAATATTCTTTACATACCTATTGTGAGGTCAAAATGATATTCAATGATAACATGTTTAGTCTCTCAAAAAATTGTTTCAATAAAAAATCAATAAACCATTCAATCAATTATTTTTGAATATAAATCATATGACTATCGCTTAAATGGGAGAGAAAGAGCTTACAATCGAGTCGATATGGTATACAAATACAAACAAAATATTATTTTCAAAATACTAATTATAAGGCTATGAGTGAGAGAGCTGTATGGTTAGGGTTTATACCGGTATTAGATTCTAAATTAATTAGTACGGTACGGTAATAAATAAATTTGGTTCAAAACAAAATATACATAAAACAATCTTTTTGTGAAAAAACGAAAAAACATTAAATATGAAAATACTTTTGATTTTCGCAGTAATGATATATCAGACAAATGCAGACAATTCTATGCATTGGTATAACTGATGAATAAAATGTAAAAATGAGATTTACTTGACTTTCAGATAATATTATCGTAACATTACTTTCATAATAAGTTAATTATACTCAAAAAAATAATTTATAAAAACTAAAATAATTACTAATCTTAATAAACGAATTGAGATTTGACTCACTAATTGAAAACATAGGCTATAATTGTTTGCAATATTTGAAAGCATTTTCTCTAACATTTGCTCAATAAATATCAATAAACTTAATATTAATCTCAACTCTATTTCTTGTTTGTGTTAATTATCATTCATTATAATTGCTTTTAAATTGTAATCCAAATCAAAATAAAAATTATTTTTATCACAATTAGAGTCAAAATATATGTATAGAGATATCGTGGGAGTGGGACTCGAAATTGAAAAATAAATTTTATACTTAAATACAAATTGAAAATATTCAACAAATTTAGTGTTAAGTCTCGAGTCGGACGAGTGGGTCGACCCGTGGCTATGACTGTTGTGACGATGTATTGTCCGACTTATCGTCGAGTGTTGTGTCGTCAGCGCCGGTACTGTTGTTGTACTTCTTATTGAAGGCCGAGAACGACGGCGATGTGGACTGAGGTGTGGACGAGTGAGTGGCGGCAAACAGTAGCCGCTGTTTATTGAGGGGCGGCCCTATCACACTCAACAGCACCGGTAGGAATATAAGACTGTGCAGCGTTCCGAACGCTATGATCCCTAAATACATCCGGAAGTAAAACACGCGAAATATCTTGGATTTGGCGAACGCCAGGATTAGGATTCCGCAGTCGGTTAGCGTTATGCCCGACAGGATCTGTACGACAAACACACACACCATACATACCATTAGATTTCATTTTAATCGCAAATACAAATGTTGTGGTAATACATACCGACGTTCCCATCTTAGCCAACGACTCTTTTGCCCTCAACACACGTGTCGGCGCCGAACAGATTGCATAACATCGGACTAAATGCGAACAAAACTCGACGGATATTCCCACCCCCTGTTCAGTTGGCGACACAAAAACCATTAATAAAATGTAAGACATATAGCGTACAAAACATGTGCCAAATACTGACCACAACTAAATTAACGAGTGATATGGCGTTAAGGCTGATGTCCCACCATCTCATCATTGCCATCAAATCTATAATAATCATAAGTATAGTGAGCGCCACAATGAGCGCCGAGTAGATGTCGAGCCCGAGGAACAGGTAGGTCACGATGAAAATGGCCGTAATCGATATGCTAAGGCTTTTGATAGTGTCGGCCCACATCGTCAGGTACTGCTCGTAGAACACGTCTGGGAAACTATAGGGCCGGACAATCGCTTTGCTGTTCGTAGCGTTTTGCAGCTTTTCGGTCAATATATCGGCTATTATTCGCGAATATCTTAACGACTCGTAAAAGTCTTCCGACGTCTTCAATGTGGTCCGGTATGACATCAGATAAGTAGCTGTAGGTGCCATTCAAGCCATGCGTTAGTCATACAATCACAACAATTCAGTTCAGTTTATAGCATACATTTAATGCCCCCTCCATTGTCGTACATCTGGACGGCGTCGTCGTACTGACCCAACCCTCCTTTGGGACACTTGGCGTCGGGCGAGTGCCGCAAGAAATAGCCTAAATTGTTGGTGAAATTGGAACCAAATGGGCGACCGTTTTCCGATTGCCAACAATGTTCAGTGCAATTCTTATCACCTGTAATCGCATTACAATTAATACCAAAACAAACAACAATTTCATTAACAAAACAATCAAACCTTTGAAACATTGTCTATCGTCTGGAGTTTTAAAACAGCAATCGGTGCTCGATATGTAACTAAAATAGCTGTCCATCCAGGGAAGGGGTTTCGTTTGAATGTATGTCCTGTTTGTATGCAAACCACACAAAACTTAGAAACAAATTCAATGGCAATAGTCTATAAGCAATGGACTCACAGATTGGACTGTTCGGCCATATAGGCCAGGAGGGATGGCAGCGAGTCTCTGTCGCAATCATTCAGAGAGCACATGGCGTTCTGGGACTCATTGTGAGTGTAATCATAGCCTTCGGTGACCATGAAGTAGACGGGAGGGCCCACAACGAAATACTTCTGATAAAAGTCAAAGTAGTTAATCATATAGGAGTCCTCTGGCATCGAGAGCTCCTGTTCCAGTCCGATGTGTAGTTTATCCAACACCGCAACACTGGTGCACAACCAGGCGCCGAAGCCCAGCAGCACCAGTATCCGGATGTTGTCCTTCATTAGGAACGGCGAGTATATGTCGCGGAAGAACGTGTACAACAGGCCCTCTTTGCCGCCCACCGCCGGGTGTTTCTCCGACTTCTTCGACCCCTTTATACACCACATGATGTCCAACCGGTTGTCCAACTGGCGCCGGGTGTCCAACGCAAACAAACCCAAAAAGCACGTCATTTGCAGGAAAAAGTTGATGACGAGAGCGACGCCGGCGTAGAGCGCGAACATACGGACGGCTGGCATTGTGGTCAGTGTCCCGATGAAGAAACACGACGACATCGACAGCGACGACAACATCATAGACGGCGCCACTTCGCCCACCACTCGACCGATTTGGTCCACCAGTTGCTCGTCGGGTCGGCGCTCATCGCGCTGTTCAGCAAAGCATAAAACATTCAAAAATTAATATTGCGCTCAAAACACATACATTCATTCACTCAGTGTTTGGACGCCTCATCGGAATGGACGACACGGACAGAGAGTGAATGGCCGCTCACCTGAAAACTTTGAACCAAAATAAATATGTTGTCGACGCCGACGGCCAGCACGAGGAACGGTATGACTTCGACGATGATAAGAGTGGCCGGAATGGAGAAGTAGAAGAAGAAGCCGAGAGAGGCCAACACCGACAAGAGGACAACTGTGACGCCCACGAAACCCAACGAAAAGCGGGCGTCCATTAGGATTGTGGAGCACTTGTTGAGGTCTCCCAACGCCAGCAGAATATATATAAACATTATTAGGTAACTGACGGCTACGGTCACGATATCGGACTTTGACTGCCGGTCCAACTCGTCTTCTATGGATCGCTCGGCTTTGTAGGCAATGGTCATCGCTTTGGAGGAATGATTGGCCACCGTCTCCAGGAACAGCTTCTCCCATACAATGGCTCTCTTATTTTCCTTGGGGTTGTTGTAGTTCTTGACGGGAATCGTTATGATAAGTGCCGTCGCTTTGGTGTATTCGTCGCCATCGAAGCCCCCGAGCGCTACCCCGGGATATACTAATGGTATGCCATTAGGCTTAAAACACGAGTTCTCTTTCCGCTCCTCAGTATAAGTGGGACTCCTATTGACACATAAAACGAGAAATAAATTTCAAGTTTAAAAATACAAATAAATAAATGAAATCCGGTTTTGAAAAATCAATGAATCACTGAATCGCTTAAAGCGATCACTCGATCCACACACCAGAGTTCGCCACAAAAAGTGGTGCAAAGAATTATGCAATAAAAATGCTATCAAATCAAACCGTACCGGGTGCAATACACCACTTTGTTGAGGTAAGTATCCTTCATAAGCTCGGTCTTGCTGTCCAAATAGTAGGTGAATATGGATTGCGTGGCGCACTCCCCGCCCAATGGTTTATAGCAGATATCACTCAATCTAATCGACTCATTCGTGTCCTCATCGGTGGCTATGATTTCCAACACTTTTCGCTGCAAATCAAAGGCCTCGGAGAGGAACGACTGGTTGAATACCGGGCCGAATGTGAACTCCTCGTCACCAATGGTGGCGTTGAAGAAGCCCTCCCTGTCCTTGGGCTCAATGATCAACTGCTCGATGCGATAGAATTTCCAAAAGTTTTCGTTGAAGTACTCCATATCGCGTCGCGCGGGACTGCCCGCAGGCACCCATAGGTCCACGGGATCGGTGGTCACCTGCCAGTTGGTGAACACCCCCAACGCGAAGTAGCCGCTCACGAACAGCGACCCTATGATCACCATCCATGGGTTGCGCGCCACGAATGTACCCCAACTGCGGAACATGTGCTCGAAGAAGCGCTCCAATCGGATACCAATCGCCAGGTTTGCAGAGTGTATGGACTCCAGCGGTTGAATAATGTCGAGTTGGGCGCACATATGGATGTCGGGACTGGACGGCGGGCTGTCCTTCAATTGGTAGGTGCCGTCGACCGACAGTTCGCTTCGCAACGGCTTTGCCTCCGACGAGTCGCCGCTCTCGATGTGCGACAGACTCGTGGGTCTCCCGTTGTGTCCGTTAATCGATTCGCAAGAACTGGACGAATGACTGCTTATCTCGACTGCAGGAGTGAACCAATGGTTACAAAAAAGGCACTCAAAATGCATTGCAAAACAAAGACTCACTTTTGTTGTCGTTTCGCATCGAATAGATGGCAAAGTATATGAAGACAGAGGCGGCGATAATGAGGTACAGTATGAGTGCGGCGGCGGTGGTGGCGCTCATATTGAGTAGAGTGACGGGAGGGGCCCTCTGAGGCAACTGCGGCGGGTTCTGGAGCCTCTGCGGCGATTGGGCGCAGTCGGCGTAACTGCACTTCTGTTCGCCGGGCGGGGCCTCCGAGCACGAGAGGGCCCTCACGTCCAGCGGATACACTTGTCGACCGCCATCGACGGTGAGGCGGCGCTCGTTGGAGAAGACATAGTTGAACTGATAGGGCGCGTGACCCCCGTTCTCGTGGGACAGACCCATGAACTCCAACCACCGGAAACCGTTGCACTTCTTTGAGCCCCATTTGCCGCACATGAGGTCCATAATGGAGGTGCCGGCAGACACTCCCGGCAGGCCTTTGCACGAGTCGTACAGATCTGCGGCAAAGTCTTGGTTCATATAATAAGTCACTTCATCGACGCGTATGAGTCCCTCATCGCCGGTGCCCTCCTCGGCGTCCCCTTTGTATGGACTCGATTTGGTGACAGTCATGAACTTCGACTGTCGAGGACTGCACGTCGAGTGGCAGAAGTTTTTGCGCCAATTGTGGTAACACGAGGGACACCGACCCAAACCCAACGTCTTCGGCAACTCGTAGGACTCGGCCAACAGGTGAAGGGCGTCGGCGTCGCAGCACAGGAGGGGGTCGTCGTCCGCACCGGTCATGAGGTCGGGACACGTCTGGTGAAGCACTTGCAAGGCTTGCGAGTCGTTGAGCCGTTGCGGCCGTTTAGGCCTAACGCAGGGTATAGTGGCGTCGCCCGCGAACCCCGACACCACTCCGCAGGACAGGCTGTTGTCCACCACACAGTACCCCACCTCCAGGTCGTGGGCGGTGGGCGTCCACTGGTCCGCTGCACTCACCCACAAAGAGATGACACACACGACCAACACATGGATGGCGATGACAGTGGTCTTCATGATGATGGTTGTGGTGATGGTTATGATGGTTAGTGTGTCGTATATGCAGTCATTGCAGTGATTGTGGTATAACTACAGAGTATATGCTATTCACGACTGAATGCTATGTTTTTCAATGTTTTCTCAATGTTTCACTCAATACTGCAATAGAAATCTAGTGTTTGAACTTCTCGTCGCGTTTGCCATTCACTGCAATACTGACGGCTATACTGTATATGAAACACAAACTACACCTCAATAACACTCAACGCACACAACAGCCATATCTCTCTCTCCCCTGCAGTGCCCACCCCTACACCCAATCACTCCCTCTCTGTTGCGTGCATTCAATGACTGTGTGCTATAGCCATGAGTGCCAAACACTACACATCCTTATCAGATGCATAGCCTTCGTAACCGTAAGCATACATACAGTCAAACCCCGAGCCGTAGCCTTCAATACAAGCTTTCAATGTATGCCATCGTGTAGTCGACTATCAGGTCTAACCCAAACACCACACACTCCACCACTCCATCCATACCTATGCTTACGAGGAAGAGAGAGAGAGAGAGAGAGGCTGAAAGTGAGAGTGAATGAGTGAGTGATAGTGAAAGTGGAACAGTAGTAGAGAGAGGGACAGCCTGACAGGAATTGGGAGCAAAAGTTTATATTGTGGTTGAGATAAGAGTTTCACATAAGATATATGCGCTCAACACAACTATTTTACACTACAGTAATGCGAATCCAATAAATATTTTCTCGTATAAACAATATCTAAAGAAAGTCTCATTTGAGTGTTGATTGAAAACAGTACTCATTAAGCGATTGCATGATTGCCACCAAACGGACAGCAATACTGTGCGAAGAATAGTGTCCCGGCTATCAGAATATACTGTTAGGGGCTGTTATGTGTCAATTCTTGGATACATTTTGTCATTAGATAAGAGTTTGCAATGTTTTCTACAAATTATTTGCAATATATTTACATAAACCCAATGAACGCATAACTTTTTTTGTTAAGCAATCATATGATTTGATGGCAATCCTTAGGATGTTTGTGACAAAAGTAATGATTAGTTAGTTTTTGAAGCAATTTATTGCCATTCATGCCATTAATGCTATTCAATGGGCACTTCCCTACTATCCCGACACACATTCGTGAAGAATATTTGCGCCAAATATTTCATACGATACGGAATATAAGTTTTTCATGAAAACTCTCATTACATTAATTATCGTTTATATCAAATAAAGTTTTTATTTTATGAATATTTATGACAAAATTTGGCTTCAATTTGAGCACTTTCTCTATCTTTCCTTTTTTCTCTCCCTTTCTCTCTAAACAAGTGATTGGTATTTGTGTTGCGATTGTAAGGAAGTGCACAATCAATACAGGCGTCAATGTTATGCCATTTGGCAGATATATTATATCAGATCAGGTATTAAAATGCGAGACATTGCTGTATAACTGTATAATTAACATAATATGATAATTGTTTGCATTTTAAACTACTGTATCATTATATTATACGATTTCCATGTACTGTAGTTTGTTTTGTTTTGTTTTGTTTCAAATAGTTTTTTACTCAAAGATTAACGATAAGTATCACAAGTTTGATAAACAAATATACATATCGTTGACAGTGAGAATTCAAAAATATTTTTTACGTCTAAAATTTACATCAATACTTGAAATTATTGTTGAGTTGTTATTAAGTAGTTATTTATTTTAAATTTTTTTATATAAATATTTTTCGATTATTTCATTTTACGTTTTTGATATAAACTACTAATCATATAGAAAATTTTATAAACAACAAAAATAAATATGAAAAATAAAGTTACAAATAGTAATTGTTTGAATTCAGATACCATATTAATAAAGTTATGCAAAAAGTTCTATTGATTTGAATAGTATTCATATTTTCCAAGAATTTAACGATAAATATACAGTAAATATATTTTTAACATTCAGTCACATGAAAGTGAACTCAACGATAGTAAGTGTTTGGATACAAAAATCTGAAGTTTGATAAAATACAGTATCATACATGTGCATGTCAGATACATGTGCGATCAGATAAAATGCACATTTTTGTACGCTTCATATTTGATCATGGATGATTTGCTATTTTAAAAATTGTTAATTTGCAATAAATTATGCAATGAATGAATGATTGGAAAAATTAATTTTGAAATATATCTCTCTTTCTCAAAAGAAATTCAATTTCAAAAACTCGAAGTTTCTAAAATTCATTGTCAATTACCTAGTTAATCATTTTATATTGTCTTATAACTATTGATGTTTCAGGCAATAAAGCTATTTTAATGGACTTTTATATACAATATGACTACAATTATTGTTCATTTGTTACAATATTGCCCTCAATTTGAAGGCCATTCACATAATTATCTAATTTTCCTCAATACGAGACCACAGAATAAATGAAAATTATTTGTTATTTCTCCTAAACCATAACACTTTGAGTATTTTTCACTCAATTATTATGTGAACTGAAGAATGTTTATAGGTATATAAACAGCGCTCCCAAAGTCTGACCAAAAACTTTATGGTTTGTCTGTAGTACAGACTCTATACCTCACAATCTGGAGAAGCTCTCCAGAAGCCCTCCCCTTAGAGGGGGTGTTGAGGTGTATAACACATGTAGATGTAAAGCAAAAATCTTGCATTCATTTTGTATTGGTGTTAATAAGCTACGATTTTTTATATTAAAAGTTTATAGCTATGCTTTGTCCCCTACCATAAAAACAGAATGTAAGCTCTATACTATTGATTGATTGTGTTATTTAATGGCATTTCTAGTATAAGTTCTCAAATAATTAGAAAAATTCATTGCTTTTATGCCTAATCCATAGAATTATTGTGTATAAAGAAGAGTATTATAAATAATT